AAGAGATACAAACTACTATATGTAAAATAAATAAGCAATAAGGATATATTGTACAGCACAGAGAATATAGCCAGTGTTTTACAACTTTAAATGGGGTATCATCTATAAAAATATTGAATCACTATGTCATACACCTGAAACAAATATGTTATAATATTGTAAAGTAAATCAGTTATAGTTCAATAAAAAAAGAAAAATGGAAGTAAATAAGAAAACTGAACTAAATGGTAGGAGTTATTCAGTCTGATAAGTGTCTAAAAAGTTCTGGAGAGCTGCCATGTTAGAAAGGGATCTTAGAGATTGACGTGTTGGTTACAAAGGTATATACATCTGATAAAACAAAGCACTGTATGCTTTATGTACTTTTTGAAAAACAACATGCAAATTAACCATTAATAAAAAATAATAATGAGCACATCAACAATATGGTTACAATTAAAATAAAAGAAAAAAAGAAAATGCCCAGTGAGATGAAAATGAAAAGAAAAAAAAAAAAAAGGAGAACAATCGGAATCCTAGTAAATGGCTGATGAGATTATCAATCCGTACAAGTGCTTGAGAATCTAGACTTTAGCAGTATCTTCTAAACCTAAACAGATGCATAACCTATGACTTAGCAATTCCACTCTTATGTATATACCCCATACTATGACATACATGTATTCACCAAAAGACATGTTCACGAATGTTCATAGCAATGTTTATCATACATAGCCAAAACCAAGATAGCCTACATGACCATCAACAGTAGAATAGATAAGCAAAATGTATATTAATTCACTAGACAGATTTGAGAATGAACATACTATACGTACAACGACTTGGACAAAGAAACAAAAAAACAGAAAACATGATGTTAAATAAAAGGAGCAAAATACAAAAGAGCCATAATGTGTGGTTCCGTTATACAGTTTAAAATCAGGCAAATTTAATCTGTGGTGTTCGAGGTCAAGAAAGTCGTTACCCTTAGATGAGAGTTGTAGGGACTGATGTGAGGAGGGATAAGACGTTATGGGTATAATAATGTTTTGCGTACTGGCTTGGGTGCTGGTTGCATCGGTGGCTTTATATTGCGAAACTGCAATGGGCTGTACAATTTATGATTTATGTTTTACCTCCAAAGAAAAGTTACAGAGAATTTTAAAAATCTCACAGCACTGGCCACAGGAAAACCGTATGTGAGAAGGAATTAAAAGCCAACGTGAGGGCTTCCCTGGTGGCGCAGTGGTTGAGAGTCCGCCTGCTGATGCAGGGGACACGGGTTCGTGCCCCGGTCCGGGAAGATTCCACATGCCGCGGAGCGCCTGGGCCCGTGAGCCATGGCCGCTGAGCCTGCGTGTCCGGAGCCTGTGCTCCGCAATGGGAGAGGCCACAACAGTGAGAAGCTCGCTTGCAGTGAGTACCGCAAAATAAATAAATAAAAGCCTACGTGAGAGCAGATTAACAGAGATCCACCAGGGAAAGGATGAGATGTTGGCAATGAGGATTAGAATGGGAGTGAGTTACAGAAAAACAAATTAAAAATATTGGGCCCAGAAAGGGAGCCAGAAATCAAATGTAAAAAATGTAGTGAGTAACCTAGCCCAGTTTCAGTCAAGCGGGGTAGATGGGAAATGTTATGAGGCTTATTTAATTAATTAATTTATTTATTTTAATCGTCTGGGAAAAGGTGGGGTTAGTTCTAGGGAATCCATCTAAAATTTAGCAGCAGGGAAAGAGGGACCAACATGGAACCCACATGGTACTTAGAGGTAAAAGCAGGCTACACTGGTTGAGTGTTACATAGATTAGTACTGAGCTTTCCTCTCTCCTGTCTGCAGTGTGCTGGGAAAAATGGAGACAGATCAGGAAACCAAAAGACACAGGCAAAATGGGACTATTCAGTTTCTTTACCGGTTTAACTATTTTCATTACAACATTCAAGTCCTTGGCCTTCCTATAGCTGTAGCAAAGGCTAGTCTCAAATCCTTCCCACATGAGAACTACCTATGTACTATATGTACAACAAATCTCTCTGAGGTTGGGGGAGAGATCAGGCTCAGTGCAATTGGATGATGCCTTGCAGAACAATTAGCCAGGGCAAGATTTATTAATAGATTCACTCCTTAATATGAATAACAATATCGGCATATTCCCAGATATGCCTGTTCCATTAGGTGTTAGAAGCATATTCAAAATTGAATTGATGATCATTTTAATTTACTTCATTCACAAAAGATTTCTTCACTGATAAATAAAACAGGATTTTTAACCAATGCAGTTAGATATTTCCTTGTTACTTCTATTTCTTTCAAAATAGATTTTTGAGGGTTTTTGTTTGTTTTCTAACCACATTTAAGCATGCTATTTTTCTAGTCTATTTTTCTCACAGAACTGAAGAACAGTCATTGAAATGGAAACTTCTCAGAAATTTGACATTATGAAATCTCGTGTTCAAAGATAATATCAAATATAAGGTACCTGCCCTATTTCAGTGTCAGTTTACAGTTAACAGGTGTCTCTAATACTTTAAGAATGTAATTGAAAACAAAAGACAAATTAGATTTTACCAGTTCTTCTTGGAAATATAGCTTGATTTGAAATAAAATATTCAAGGTAGTTATTTGTTGTTCAACTACATTTAGTAACATGAGGAGGGTAAAGGATTTAAGTAAATAAAATATTTAATTTCTTAATATGTGGGATTTCTGAAGCTAGATTAGTATACTGTGCAAATGAGAAGTTGGGAACATTCTGTTTCACAAAGGCTTTTTCACACGTTATATAATTTGTCATGGTTTCCTTTGAGAAGGGAGATTTAGTATATCCCAGAGGCCGTTTATTTTCTACAAATATTTACTGACTACTTTCTATGTACATAGCCCCATGATAGTATAATTAGGGCATTGTCATTACAGAGTTCTTGTGTAGTTTGGTGTAAATAATATTCAGCATAAGTATAAACCTTCATAATTGACATAACATTTCCATCCATAAAGTGTCATATGATCATCCTAAAGAGTACTGTGAAATAATTTCCCCATTTTAAAGAGAAGGATGTGCTGTGACTCGAGTTTACCTGCCTGAGATCACACATTTAGCAAATGGAACTTGAACCCAGAATCTCCTGTGCTTTGCAAGGCCCTTCACCATTTTACTTTTTACATCTCCTTATTTATAGGCAGTTACCTTATTCAAAACCCACAGTAGTTGTTGGTATGTGATACATATATGCGCAGTGATAACTATTATAGCACACATTTCAAATGTCTTGAGAAATAATCATGTGAATAACATCTAAATTTAAAGTGAAATGTTTCTGAAACATATGAAATTTGGAACCCAGAAAAAAAGAAAATATAGTTATGTTACATTATAAAAGATATAAAAACACAGAATTTTACTTTCAAAATTCTACCATATCTACAAAAGTATATGCAAAATTTAATTACCTTGCATATGTTTTATTTATATGTGTATGATATGTTCAATATCTTTCTTCTAGACTAATTCCACAAAGAAGTTTAAAAGTGATGGAAAACAGGATAGAGTATTCCAAAATCAAGGAAAGAGAAAAATTTTACAGATTCTACTTGTGAAAGGTAAGATTTAAGGTCAAGATACATTAAATCTTTATTGTAAATCCTTATGTAAGTCCTGCATCTATGGACTGCCATGGGTTTTTGCACTTGTTTTTACCTATGCCTGAAATGCTTTTTCTCCAGGGATCCTACTGGTTCTCATTCTCACTGCTCTGAGGTCTTTGTCTGAATGTCATCTTTACATTTCAGACCTTCCTTTGCCACCCTATTTAAAAGTATAACACTACTTGCAGAACTGTCTAGTCTTCGTGTTTTACTACATAGCATATATCACAGTCTAACACCTTGTATATTTTATAGATTCATTTTATTTGTTGACTGTCTCCTTTTACTAGTGTGAGCTCCATAAGGGTAGAGTAGAGATTTTGATCTGTTTTGCTAACTGTTGTATTCCCAGTACCTAGAAAAGAGGTAGGTACTGGGCTGGTATTTGGTAACTTTTCTACACAAAGAAAGCGAGATGGATGGAAGGAAGGAAGGAAGGAGGGAGGGAAAGAGGAGGGAAGGAAGGAAGAGGGAAGGAAGAAAGTAAAATAAATGAAGGGAGATAGGGAGAGATGGAAGAAGGAAGAAAAGAAATAAAGGGAGGGACAGAGGAAAGCCAAAAGGTGAGTGAAAGAATAGTATTTTGCATATTACCTTTATAAGAAAGTACCATTGGTAGCATCAACTATTAATTTTTGCTTTTAATTAATATCCCTGCTACTACTAATAGACCTAGAGAAAAAAGCATTAATTAGAAAAGGAAACAGAAAAATAAAGAAAGGAAGACTCATGAAGATGAGAAAAAGAAATAATATATACAATGAACCAGAACTGGCCTTGACAGTTTGTTTTATATTGTTTGATGCTCATAAAGGAATCTGTGAGACAAGGAACCTTGAGGTTTGCCAAAGGTCCCTGAGCAATTAAGTTGGAGGCAGTGCTGGCGCAAGCACCCAGGGGAAGCTAAGGATGGAGAGATAGTGAGAGGCAGAGAAGAGTATAAATTCAAGTTTCCAATGCCTAACCCTAGGCTTTTTAAAGCTTCCTCAGACAAAGAAAAAATGAAGAATGAAGAGGGAAAGTAAATCAGGTATCACTTCAAAATGTGTGTCAAGGTATTTTTTAGCAGTGTCATAATTTATCCTAGTAAAGGTATTTCCATTTATATTTGAAGATTTATTTACAGATTGAAAAGCTATTACCTAAATAAGCACAACATTATTTGCTTTGAGACAACAACATACGTATTAATACCACCACTCTATTTTCTAGGAATTTATCCAGAAATAATGTTCAAGGATGTGTACAAAGGTATAATAAGTGTATTTACTTCAGCTTGGCATAGGCAGTGGTATGGAAACCTTCTGCTGTATTAACAATAAGAATAAATAAGATATCTAGAATCAATAGTAAGATAATATTTTAGAGACTTACCTAGGATTTTGCTATAGTATGAATTCCATTGTCCCCAGTAGGACTGAAATATATAATCTTGCAGTGGATAAGATATGGTATTTTTAACCCCTTCGCCAAAGGTCATCTGGTAAGTGAGCTCTGAAAGTGCTGCAGGTACATAGGAGGCAGGTGCTGGGATTTTTCCACAGTGTCTCTCCACTGCTGAGGCTGGAGAGAACTTCAACGTGTACATAAATGGAATTCCTGATTTCAGAGCAACCAGATCTCCACAGATTGTTACTGGGTCGGCTAGCAGCACATCAAAGCCTCCTTTCTGAAGTCTTGCCATTAACTTGGGGTTCTTTAATACTCAATCACAGATTTGTATATTAATCTGAAAAAAAGTATGTAGGAGTTTTCCTAGTTCTATCCACAGCATTATCAGATGTTCAATTAAGAAGTCGATGTTGCTTTTCTTGTAGGAAACAGATATCACCTCAAAATTCACAAAAGAATCATCACTGGAGTTGACGAATAGAGTCGCTGATGAAGCCTGTACAGTCATATTGTGATTTCTTTGATTCAACTCTTCTAAAATGATCTTAATGTTTAACCGATGGCTACCATCCGTGGGCTAAATTAGCACATTCCCACTTAGAAAAATTTCAATCGGAGTCAAATTAAAAATCAGAAGATAGGAAAACTTCTTAGGCATGGTGATATCCATTATGGAAACCATCCTACTACAGATCTTTTAAGACGAAAAGAAACTTTCAAAGTATATTTAGGTAGATTATTTTTTCAAACAAAATAATATTTAATGCGATGGCTACACTCATTCATAAGTCAATTGATCTATAGATTAAAAGGAAAACAATATAACTCAAATTCTTGAATATATTAATATGATTAGTCCAACAAAAGAAATGAAATCTGGCCCTATTTTAAAGAAAAAGAAGCAGGCAGGTTATAAGCCTGATATCTGTGTTCTCTGTGAAAATAACCATAATTTATAAAATGTGCCTTCAATTTAGTATACCTTTCCCCAAATTGTTAAATAAAAAATAATACTTCTCACTGCTAAAGTCACTTTGCCAAAACTTGCAGAACTTTCAAGCTGGATATCTTTATTATAAGCCATTTCTACATGCATTGTCTGACTCAATCCTTTTCATAATCTTGTTTAGCAGAAGTGATTTACTCCATTTCATGGATAATGAAACTAATGTTGAATTGCATATCCAGAAGCATATTTGACAGAGTAGTACAATTGGGACAACAATCATAACACTATTTCACTCATTTCTGGCTTTTTACAATGTCATGTCTCATCTTTGTTAAGTTTCAGGAACTTTGGCAATGCCCAGTGACCAGCATTATTATCATTTCCCCATGGCTCATATTTAGGAAAATATTAAAAACAAGCTTCCCTTAGAGGATGTTTGCTCAAACACTTCAAGAAGTTTTAGATTAATTGGGTAATAGAGTTAATTACTACACATTTGATAGAGGACTGTTTTCTTCTCTGATAAAGCAAATTGATCACTGTCTCCTTGTTACAGGGAAATTTTAATTTTCTTCCCTATGATATCTTTATACACAATCAAGGAGATAGCAACCAGCACCCTGAGAAACCATACGCTTTTTACTCAGAGCCGTTTAGTAGCTTAAATTAGGTGAACTCTAGATTTCAACAGCCCTGGATTCAAAAACTGACCTTTAACAAGATTTGTGACCCTGATGAATTACCTAGACCCTCTCAGCCTTAGTTTTCTCACGTGTAAATGAGAGATGATGCTAATTTGTTATATTAAGTTGTAAATTAGCAATAATATCTGCAAAGCTGCTTTGCAGACTGCTTGGTTCAGAGCAAGAGTTTAGTAATGTTAGCAGTTTAATAAATTTGCCTAAAGATTGACCAGTAAATCAGTGGGTTAGCTACAGAATTATTGGCTAGACATGGATGTAATGATACATGTTAGTTGAGGTTCTTAGTGAATGCCAAACTGAACAAGGGCAACTATATACTGGTGCTATTTTAAAAGTTAAAATCTTTGAAGGCTGCCATTAAAAAGAGAAAATAAGAACAAATAAAGTGATTAAAAGGACAGAAACCGGGAGCTGAGATTGGAAATTAAGTGCTGGGTTTTCTCTTTATAATCTTTTGCCCTTGAATTGTCATTTCAGGACCTTAAGGAACAAAAGGACCAGGAAGGCAGAGAAAGGGAAAGAGGAGAGAGAGAAGTTACGCTTTTAGAATGATTGTATTTGTGTCCTTTCAAGAGCTAGCCTCAATTTGGTTATAGGGGCAGTAATTTTAAAATTAATTACATTTTGAAACAAAACAGCAGGAGAAGAGTATGACTAATCTTGATGGCCATTAAAATGGCCTAATGAAGAGAATTTAAAATAGCTTCATAAAGAAATCTGTTGCTGTCATGACCTTATTATAAAAAGGAGACAAAACACAACAACATATAAAGGATAACTGAAAGTTTATTTATAAAATACTGAGATTTGTTCAGTTATTGAAGTCCTTGTAAGTATAATAATTAATTAGCCATTACTCACTAGCAACAGCTATGATAACATTTAAAAGCTTATCAAAATATACCCAAGAATCAAATGCAGGTAGGCAACCCTAAATTACCCTGCATTTAAAAAAAAATGCAAGCGTTCAAGGAGTTAACTTTCCACTGTTAGGTGGTCTTTTCAGGACAATAATAAAATTATATAATTTAATAAAGACAATAAGAGATAATAGAATTAATTAGTAGCTGATATATGTATATATATTATTTTTGTTTTAAAATTATTCTTGGATGTTAAAATGTTTAATCTCACTACCATCAATGTAGAGTTCTGCTCCATTTATTCTATGGTTTCCTGTATACCTGAAATGCTTCATAATTTGCAAATTCAAAAATGATGAAGAGATTAAAAAATAAATTATGTTTGGGGACATATGCAGTATAAGCTTAGATTTAAATTTCCATCAGTGAAAAAATAATATGCTAAATATGCATAATTTCATGAAATAATGAAGTTCTGTAATTTAAAACAGTCACATATTTGTTTCCTTTATGAGTTCACTTATAGCTCTTCTGAATACGGTTTCAGTGATAGCATGTGGGATTGTCATTCTATAGACAACATAAGTCCAGTTTGCCCATCTCCATCATTTTATATGTAAGAAAATAGACTAAGAGAGGTTTAAATAATCTGAAAGTCACAATGCTGGAAATGCATAAGTATTCTGGTTCCCAGTCCAATGTTCCTTCTTCTATAATCTACTTTTTAAATTGAATAGTTGTGATATATTTTATAACAGTAAAAATTAGAAAATATTACATTTCACAATGGTGAATATTTGATGATGACATCTTAAACATAACTAAAGAGCTCAGAAAATAATTTAAAAAACATATGCCTGTGAAACAATACATAAGTACCATGAGTGAAAAATAGATTAGTCATAGAAAATTTGCACCAATTATGATATTGTTCTTGTACTTTGAATTGTTAGAGAGGAAAAAAACTTTCCCTCTACCTTTTCTAGGTTATTTTGGCTCATCTAAAAATTAAATCGATGTGACACAGATGAACAGGAGAAAAACCAAATTTAGTGACATGCAGGGTCTCCTCAAGACTATGAGGCCCAAGAACAAGTTAGGCAACTGAGGCCTATATGCCACCTGAGGGAAGGAGAATGGGGTAAGGGTTTGGGGCTTTAGAGTGGAGGAAGGCAATTCACATAGAGATGGAGAAACAAATATTTGGTAAATGAATATTTGCTGTGCCATAGAGACAATGGGACACAGATTGGACTTTGGTCTCCAGGCCCTGTTGAGTTTCCCTACCACAGTAGGTGTTGTTCTCTGTAGATTTCTCTGGTGAGAGGGCTCTTCCTGGACAGGGCCTCATATCTAAATTCTTTTAAGCAGTTAAAGGGAAGGTAAAAAGAAAGACTTCATGAGTCTTTGTCTCTTAAAAGCAATCAGCCTCAGATAATCCTCAAGCCAAAGAGACACATTTTAGGGTGGAAGATTTTGTTCCCCTCAGAATCAATTGCTCCTTTTCATTCTCTATTTTGAAAGAGAGGACTCCAAAGGATAATAAAACAGACATAAATTTTTCAGAATAAGATTTAATGAGGTTTTGTTGGAGAATGTTAGTCATCTGTATAAAACTAAATTAGAGTTAAAGTATCTTAAAATGTATAATGCTATTAATTTGAATTGAGAATGTTTACAACAACACTTTTGTACAGGAGCTTTGCTTACAAATTTTTTCCCCAAACACATGCCCTGCCTTGAAGCTTTCCTCTTTCTGTGCATTGCCCTGGATGCTAGGATTTAATTGTGCTGATCATTTCTCATTGTCACTCAGATTTGGAGGTGGCTCCAGAGGCCACAAAAGCCTACAAACCAGTCTTCACACTGTTTTAGGAACCTGAGTAATCAACTCTTTAGTAACTTTAAAGTTTTAGCCTTACATTAGTACTTCAATTTTATTTGAGTTCCTTGATTGGCATTTAGTTAATTCATTTGAAATTGTATTTGTTTTTATTTTCTTCATTTATACATTTTTAATATGATGGATTCTCTCTTTTTTTTTTAACAACTTTTTTGGAGTATAATTGCTTTATAATGGTGTGTTAGTTTCTGCTGTATAACAAAGTGAATCAGCTATACATATACAAATATCCCCATATCTCCTCCCTCTTGTGTCTCCCTCCCACTCTCCCTATCCCACCCCTCTAGGTGGACACAAAGCACCGAACTGATCTACCTATGCTATGCAGCTCCTTCCCACTAGCTATCTATTTTACATTTGATAGTGTATATATGTCCATGCCACTCTCTCACTTTGTCCCAGCTTACCCTTCCCCCTCCCCATGTCCTCAAGTCCATTCTTTATGTCTGCCCTTCATTCCTGTCCTTCCACTAGGTTCTTCAGAACCATTTTAAATATTTTTAGATTCCATATATATGTGTTAGCATACAGTATTTGCTTTTCTCTTTCTGACTTCCTTCACTCTGTATGACAGACTCTAGGTCCATCCACCTCACTAGAAATAACACAGTTTTGTTTCTTTTTATGGCTGAGTAATAGTCCATTGTATATATGTGCCACATCTTCTTTATCCATTCATCTGTCGATGGACACTTAGATTGCTTCCATGTCCTGGCTATTGTAAATAGAGCTTCAATGACCATTGTGGCACATGACTCTTTTTGAATTATCACTTTTTCAGGTTATATGCCCCATAGTGGGATTGATGGGTTGTATGGTAGTTCTATTTTTAGTTTTTTAAGGAACCTCCATAGTGTTCTCCATAATGGCTGTATCAATTTACATTCCCACCAACAATGCAAGAGTGTTCCCTTTTCTCCACACCCTTTCCAGAATTTATTGTTTGTAGATTTTTTGAGGATGGACAGGGTGAGGTGATACCTCACTGTAGCTTTAGCTTGCATTTCTCTAGTGATTAGAGATGTTGAGCATTCTTTCATGTGTTTGCTGGCAATCTGTACATCTTCTTTGGAGAAATGTCTATTCAGGTCTTCTGCCCATTTTTGGATTGGGCTCTTTGTTGTTTTGATATTGAGCTGCATGGGCTGCTTGTAAATT